ACAACACTCTTGGAACGTTTCACTTTCTCTGAAATCTCTCTAATGGTGTGCTTTTCCTTGTGTAGCTTCACAATAGCTTGTCTCACAGAGTAATCAAGTTTTGGCGTTTCGCCATGGTGCCGGCTGATGCAACGTTTACAAATGACTAAGTAAGACTTATTCTTTAGAGGAAATCAAAAATTTGAATATAGCATACTGTTTACATTGTTTTTCTCAATTTTGTCCCTTACTTTTTGAACGATCCTATTTTGAAAATAAATAAATAATTGTTATAATTCTTTTCTATCCTTTGCAAATGATTCAAATTTTAGTATGTTATTATGGATGATAACGACTACCAGTTGTCAAAATTTCAGCTTTTCACAGTTGTTATTTCTAACAAATAGGTTTTAGGTTTTAAAAGTTTTTTGTCCCTTAGTTTTATATATATATATATATATATATATATATATATATATATATATATATATATGGTTAGATCCAGTGACAGGACCCAAAGAGCTTGAGTTCAGTACCCGGTTAAGGCAGTGGAGAACTTTCAGAGGAAATTAACAGGAGAACTGATAACTGACATCCATCAAACATGCCACGTGGAACTAGAACAGTCTACCCCAGTGAGCGAAATAAAGGGTTCAGTTCGAAATTTCAACCACCTGAAGAAGGCTGGAGCATACATCGGCCGAAACGTTGCCATAAATATGGCGACAAAGATGAGGTCGAATAATGTAAATAATTTATATATATATATAGATAGATAGATATAGATATATGTGTGTGTGTGTGTATATATATATATATATATATATATATATATATATATAGCGTGTGTGTGTATGAGTGTGCGTGTGTCTGTGTGTGGGGTATGTGTGTGTGTTTGTGCACAGGGTGCGATGGGTAAATTGTCGCCATTTTATATTTTTAATTTCGATTGAAATTTTAATGATGCTTGATTTCAAATTATCGTTACAAACTGTGGAGAAAAATGATACATCCAGGCGTCATATCTTGCCGACGTGACAGACATATGAATAAAAACGTCGAGGGAACAACGGTGGTTTCATTTTTTTCGTATTTTTCCTCCTACAAGACAACCATAGCAAGATGGCGACGGATACAATATCCCAACCTGGGCGCTTCGACGTCGTGTAATCTTTCTCAAACTTGTCCCACTAAATAACTTACGACAGATTTCGTTCCTCCCTGTGTGATCCATACTTATGGCTATTGTACCACATCTAAAGTTAGTAAATAACCTTAGTCATGCTACTTATACTACTAGAAGACCTATATATGGGAGGTGCTTCTAGGGCGACAGGTAGCGAGACCTTCCTGGAGATAAGTGAGTGGTGTGTGTATTTTCATTTCTTTCTTTTCGTATTGCCAATTGTTGTAGCCGAACTTCTCTTTTAATTATTTTTTATTGCATTTAATAAGTTTTTCAACCTCTAATAAGATACAGCACCGTTTCACCCTATATATATATATATATATATATATATATATATATATAATTATTTATTTAAAAATATGATTCCAACGCTACATAAGAGGTCTCATGTTTCAAAAACAAGAGCCGAAAACTTCAATATAATTATTTGAATTAAATTGAATTAAAGTGCCAAGCTCTGTTCCATCTTCAAGCGAAATTTTTAAATAAATAATTATATTTATGCTCTACTTTTGTATCGAGCATTATTTCGTAAAAATAATAAAAAAAAATACTAAAGAACTTTGGATTATTTACCTAACGAGTTCTTTCCTATTTTCTATATATTTTTACACACACACACACACGCGCGCGCGCACGCACACACACACACACACACACACATATATATATATATATAAATATAGATAACTAGACTCGTTTCGAAAAACCCTCGAATTTTTGATTTGCTAATCAAATCAATCTCGAGGGAAAAAAAGGTTTTAAAAAAAGAAAGAGCTACAAACATGGACTTCTGCCGACAAAAAAAATCGCACAGATGCAGGTCTGAAGCCCAAAGAAAAAAACCCCGACATGAGTAAACAACTAACTAACAAAAGAGCTCAATACAACCGTAGAGCAGACCTAGATACACCTAGTGAGCCAGACTTTCCCTGACGATCCGTTTAGGTGAAACCTAGGTAGGTTTGTCTGGCTCACTAGGTGTATATATATATATATATATATATATATATATATATATATATATATATATATATATATATATATATATATATATAAATTTATGCATGTTTCATTAAAGACGACAGACAAGGTACTACGATTAAGCTTTTTATTTAAATTTTCTTGTGTTCGAACAAGTGTTTTCTTTTTGGCACATAGAGTTTGGAGAAAATGTTCTATAATCCCAAGCGCTTTCGGCTATACATTTATCATTATCAAGAATGATTTTACTTTTTCAATTTAACTGGGTGTGTGCGTTGTGTGTATGTTTTTAGTATTATAGAAATGCTTTATTTTCCGAACACAATACATTATACATCGTGTTCTAAGTTAATATTGTTAAATGTTGGCTTTTTCTTTTTTATTATTAAAGCTTCCATTATTTTTAATCTTTTTTTACAGATGGATGAAGTTATTATATTTGTATTTTCTACTAGTATGTTTCTAATGGAGTCTGGTAAATTTGTGTGTGTGTATAAATCTGTTTTATTAGAGCTGTAGTCGGATAATGTAACGTAAGGCATATAGATAGGCATGTAGTAGTGTGACCAATGTAATTATTTATGAATTCGGTTTGATCAGGAACACAGTACCTTAAGGGACATTTGAACTCGTAAATAATGTTCGTTCTTTGTTGCTTTAATTTGATGGTGTGTTGTTATTTTAAGGTGAGCTGTTTTAAAATTTTGTAGTTGATAATTGATTTGATTTTTTTTTTTATTCGGGTCAGTTGGGTGTGGTGTATTTCTTTATAATATAAATTTATAAATATGTAATAAATATAATTTTGTATTTGGGCCGCAATCTGTCTTCTATACAAGTTTCATTAAAAGCAACTGAAAAGGTAATTTTTAATGTCCATAACGGAATAAAATTATGAGAACACATGAAAACTTAATTAAAAAACTGAACCGCAGTAACTTGTCAGTTGTTTTAATGAAACACACACACACACACACACACACACACATATATATATATATATGCATACACACACATACATACACACACACATATATATATATATATATATATATATATATATATATATATATATATATATATATATAGGGCGCATGAAGTATTGCTGTTAATAAAAGAGTATTTGATGTAATATTCCGAGTCGTGATAACGTTGATATATATATATATATATATATATATATATATATATATATATATATATATATATATATATATATATTTAAATGAAAAACAGACCACTTTAAAAGTACCATTATCATAATTTATTTCACCAGAGCCCTTTTAAGAACGCATATGGATCATCAGATAGCACTTCCAAAAATGAAATGAAACGAAAATAAATATATATATATATATATATATATATATATATATATATATATATATATATATATATATATATATATATATATATATATATATATATATATATATATATATATATATATAATTATTTATATATTATATGCGGTACTTATTAGAAAGCGCTCAATATCAGAGATAGAGCTAACATATTTGGTTGGATAGATGTGAGTATGTGACCCTGGGTTTCACGCTTTAGCGATCGTCAGACAAACTGATATGTATTTATTGTATTTCGTTAAGTTTTCGTTAATTTCCATGAATTAGCGTCATGTTAAATTTTGGCCGCGTGAAAATACAAATATGCACACACACACACACACACACAAGAATAATATATATATATATATATATATATATATATATATATATAATATTATATATATAGGTAAATTTATCAGTAGGTAAGTAGGTAGGTTGATTGATATAGTGAATGAGGTGCCAAGGAGAAAAAGAAGAGATGAAATGCCAAGACTCACCTACTCACTTACATCTGCAAATCTGGTGTAGGTGTGTTTTTCCCTCATTTTCGGCAACAAATGAATAGCTCATGTCAGTGGGTTTATCGTCTAATCACAATCAACACTAAGTAAAAACGGGAACAAAAAACAACTAAAGTAAAGCAAAATAGTTAAAAAGAAAAGTAAAAAGCCGCTTTGCAGAGCAAAAGGCCAAAGCAATGTCTGGCCTACTTCCAAAATATCTGATGTGTGAATGCGGGAGTTGATCGGCCAACTAAATAAAGAAGAAAAAAAAAAACACACACACACACACTGGAAGAAACATTGGCGCAAAGAGTTGAATAAGGATCGTAAAAGATGGCGGGAAAAACGGGGCAGACATTGTGTAGGCACCACCCTACTTAAATATTATCTATTTTTCTGTATTTAATCACTTCACCACATGCAATGCCACAAAAAAACGAGGGGTTACAGGGAGTGAAAAAGAATTATTTTAGTGGCGATGCTCGAGGAAATGACAAAAAGGGAACAGTTTTTAAGAAGATAGAAGATGGCGACTGACGGTGAATTTAAATTTTTTTGAATGTTATAATTTTGAGAGAAACATGAAATCGGGAGTTCGACAGGTTAGTAGTGCGAGAAAAGAAACTGTGGCGGAAACGTCACGGTTGAATATTGAAAGTGCAACAGTAAAACGGCGAGATCTAGTTGCTAATCTAGAAGCAAGTAGTCGGGTCAACAGGGCAAAAAAGTGTTGCCATGAAAATATTTACAGAAAAGGCAGCGAGTTGAGAAAATGACTGAAGTCAAAATGCCAGGTCACGATCGATAACATTACAGATACATTGAACTTTGTCAACACACTCGGGATATATATATATATATATATATATATATATATATATATATATATACACACACATTCTCTTCATACATTTTCGTTAACCGCTTCTTGACACAGAAAGTGGGTACAAAGGAATCAATATATGCTGACTATCAGTTACCCGCCTCAAGCAGGAACATATGTTTGCACTCAATCTATCTATGTATCTATGTATGTATGTATCTATCTATCTATCTATCTATCTATCTATATATCTATCTATCTATCTATCTATCTATCTCAATTTCTTCATTTGTTGTATGGAAGACATAACTTCCTGTATTGGCCCTTCTTCCAAATTCTTTCTTTTGGTATAGTAGACATGCTCCTTCAATCAACATAGTGTTAAGCTACATGATATATGGAGTTACTTTTCCTTCACCATATATATATATATATATATATATATATATATATATATATATATATATATTGTCATTCACAGACAGATTATTTCAGTGTACCACAGCTCTTCAGTGTGGCTACACGTCCGATTGCTTCAAGCCGAAATCGAATAGATATATGTGTGTGTGTGCCTATACTCCGAGAGAGAACGAAATATCAAAAATTGAACCATATGTCTAAATGCAATGTAATATATATATATATATGTGTGTGTGTGAGTGTGTGTGTGTATAGAGAGAGAAAGAGAGAGATAAATTTAAACGTTATTATAAGAACCATTTTTCCTTTCCCCTGTATATATCTATATACTATTTCTCTCTCTCTAAAAATATATATATATATATATATATATATATATATATATATATATATATATATATATGTGTGTGTGGGGGGGGTGAAAATATATAGAAAATAGGAACGAAATCGTTAAGTAAATAATCCAAAGTTCTTTAGTATATTTGTTATTATTTTTAAAAATGTAGTGATGGAACCATATTTTTAAATAAATAATTATATATATATATATATATATATATATATATATATATGTGTGTGTGTGTGTGTGCGTGTGTATGAGTGTGTTTGTGTGTATTATGAAATGGACTTAAGTCCAACAATTATTTTAAGACAATTTTATGTTTGACATTCTTTTTATAGATACAGATATTTAAGTAAATGCTCTGTGTTATAATACACAGTATTAAACAACATTTACCGAGTTGAATGTCCGAGAAATTTTCACAAAAACACACACACACACACACATATATATATATATATATATATATATATATATATATATATATATATATAAATTATTATAGAGGATATTTCTTATTTGTAACCGACACCTATTTTACTTTATCATCAAGACTCTTGAGGCGATATCCTAAAAAACAAAAAAGTTAACAGATATTCAGTACACAAATCACTAAGTTGTCACTGCAGACCCCAATACAACAGTTTTTCTATTGTTTCGTCCGATCGTGTTCAAGTTGACATCGTATTTATTTTCAATGGGAATATTAATGTCAATCATCCTAAAAGTAACGGATTAATATGCTTCCTTACAGGAGTCGAACTCATATTTACTTTTTCCACTCAAGTAATCCACGCCTTAAGTTGAAGATTTTTTAAATTTATTTAAAAATATTTTTATAAATAAATAAAATGACAATAAAATAAATTAACCCAAACAAATTTCCAAATCACACCAGTTAGAATAGAAGTAATAAAGAAATAAAAAAAATAAATAAAAAATAAGAACAAAATCATTGAACCCAAATAAATAAAGTAAATAATAAACAAATTAAAAAACCATTATGACCAAAATATTAGTTAGACCATAAAAATCAAACCAAAAATCGGACGAAAAACATGACTATGACTGTTATATAACGATAATAAAATACTACGTTACTTAAAAATCGAAAACCGAAAAGAGTAAATAAAAACATGCAGTACAATAAATAAATGATAAAAAAACAAGTAAAATAAATTAATCTAAATTAATCCAAATAAATAAATAAACAAACTAACAAACCAATCCAGATAAATTAACCGTTAAAGATAACTAATTCAAATAAATAAATGAACAAATTAAAAATTGCTGCCGCCAACATAATTGTTAGAATAAAATACACCAATCAACCCCAAAATTGAATAAATAGATTTATCTTCCCAAACAAAACCAAAACAAAACCATTAAATAAGTGGTATAAACAAACTTTTACTACGTTAATAAAACATCAATTAAAATAAAAATATATAAATTTATAATATAAGAAATAAAAATAAAAAATAAAAATAAAAAATAAATGAAACAAGGAAAATAATTAAAACCAAATAAATAAATACGTAAACCCCTTCCGACAAAATAACCTCCAATATAGAATACCCACAATGCCCTGTATATATAAATATACTAACCCGTATATATAAATAACCGAGAAATAAAACAACACACGTGACCTGACGATTGCGTCTAGCATGAAACAGTCTGTTGCCTCTAAGTGTTGACTTCAATGTTCACTTTTATATTTACTCACGCTCTTTCTCTGATATTGAGCACTTTATACCATAAATATAGCACACCTTAAAAGTATATTATTTATATTATATATATATATATATATATATATATATATATATATATATATAACTCTGTTCGCACGTATCTATCTCGTTAGCTCAGTTTTACATATCTATCTATCACAGTCTTCGTTTCTCAACTTGCTGGAACAAATAACTGTTTTATCAAAATGTGTATCTTCTGAAAATTAGGCAATCTACATTTAACTTACATTTGTGTATTTGTAAAATCTCTGATAAACCCGAATGATAAATATACATTAACTACTCTTGCTATCGTCTATTTTTAGTGCTGAATCTATCGTCGTTTATTTAGCTTTATACACCATAACAGTCAATAGACCAGACTTCTTCATAGTTTTCTCAGATTCACTATCCGTACTTGTATTACTGAAAAAAAAATTGAAACAGAAAAAATCGCCTGATAGCACTGACCTACATTTTTTTCAGAAGTTGGCTACTTCAGAAATGAAATGTGCCAATTCTTATGTATTTTGGGATGTTGAATTCGAAAATGATCTTCAAATTAGAGGATTGGCTTTAGATCTAGAGATATTTAGTCAGTTATATCTTACATATGAGTACACTGGATGTCTCCAAAAAAAAAAAAAAAACTTTTCGGAATCCGCTTTGATATTATTTTCTTTGTCGTCTACCAAAGCAACAGACCAAAAACATCAAGATGGCAATATATGTATATGTATATATATATATATATATATATATATATTTCGAGTACAATAAAACCGGAAAACTCTGTTCAGAAATATAGACATGCGCAGTTTCAGTTATTCGCTTTTTAATTTGTCTTTTGTAAACTGAAGAACGATCATACCTGGTCCCAGTCCAACAATAATCAGCTGGAATTGATGGACGCCATCTACCCTGATACCTTTTCTCCATTGCTGCAATATGCTGATGAAATCTTTCACCTTCTACGTCACTCACAGCACCACCGTTTTGGGACAAAAATCGAGATGCCAGTCTTAGATGTACATTTTCAAGGATATGTTATATCCAAGATGTCTGTGCGCCTTCAGATCTTCCAACACTTGTCTGTAATTTTCTGCACTTAAATAGAAAGTTGGTTACTGACTGACTTGAAAGCTTTTTGTGAAAGCCTTTCCTTTCCTCTTCCAAAAATTTACTTCTAAAAACGTTTACGAATCTGGGGACCAAAAAAGATACCTCCCTTTATCTTTGCTTCACTTATCCTGTGAAATTGAATGCAGCCTTTGTTTTTTTCCATAGCCTTCACGAATTTTTTCATAAGCCCAATTTCGACATGAAAAGCTGGTAACAAAGATTTTAGTGGTGAATGTTGAAAATAATTCCTCCCAGGTTACAAGAATTGTCATGACCAGTTCCTCTCGATGTAATGAGTTTGGTTTGGTTTGTTTTACTGCATATCAACCTCAATGGGTTATTTAATGTAGACAACATTTTTCTTGCCGGTGATATTTTTTCTTCAAAGATGTATCGCTGGTAATATTTTTTTCTTCAAAAAATTATTGCTGGTAATATTTTTTCCAAAATTGTATTGCAGGTAATGTTTTTCTTAAAAAATATATTGCTGTTAATATTTTTTCTTTAAACATTTTTTCTGTTAAAATTTTTTCTTAAATTCTTTCTTCAAAATATATTGTTGGTATTCTTTCTTCAAAAATATATTGCTGTTAATATTTTTTCTTTAAACATTTTTTTTTGTTATATTGTTAGTAATATTCTTTCTTCAAAAAATATTTTTCTTCAAAAATGTATTGTTGGTAATATTCTTTCTTCAAAAAAAATATATTGTTGGTAATATTCTTTCTTCAAAAAAAATATATTGTCTTCAAAATTATTGTATTCTTTCTTCAAAATATCTTTCTTCAAAAATATATTGTTGGTAATATTTCTTTCCAAAATATATCGCAGTATATGTTTTTCTTCAAAAATGTATTGCTGGTAATATTTTTTCTTCAAACATCTTTTCTGTTAATATTTTTTCTTCAAAAATATATTGCTGGTAATATTTTTTCTTCAAAAATATATTGCTGGTAATATGTTTTCTTCAATAATATATTGCTGGTAATAACTTTTTTCCTTCAAAAATGTATTCTGGTAATATTTTTTCCTTCAAAAGTGTATAACTGGTGATATTTTTACAAAAAATGTATTACTGGTAATAATGTTTTTTTCAGAAATTTATTAATAGTAATAACTTTTTACAAAACGTATTGCTGGTATTAAAACCTATTTTATAGAAACAGATTCCCTGGAGGAAAATAGGACATAGGTTCGATTCCTGTCAGAGGTACAGTTTTTAGTAAGACTTCTCAATCTAGACCGGTAGTTTTTAATTTCACTCTTTAAGAGAATGAAAAAAATAGGGTTATCAAGTGAAACAAGTTTGCCCAATAAAAATAAGTTTCATAGTAATAACAGATAATGGCGGATTAAAAAATTAATAAATATGACATAGAAACAACACTTCTCCACCAAGCTATGTTTTAAGTAGTAGTGTAGACTGTATTCTCTTGTCTTAAGTGGTAATAAGTTTAATTATAAGAAACCTCTATTCAAAACAGTCGGTAAGGTAACGGGAAATCATTCCTCTAACTTTCCCAAGAATGGATGCCTGAAATTTACTGAAACTCATCTACGGAGAAATAAAAGGATGCTGTAGAGAGTCATCATCTTAATATCTTAAGTCTTGAAGAGAGTAAGGATATGGTATTAAAAAAAAGGTAGCTGTTAAGTGTCATTACTGCCTACATCTTGAAAGGGTTGTGGTATAAAAATAGGTGTCTGCAGAAATTCATGGTTGACT